ACGTATACTCTGCACTCAGGGCCATTAAGCAGTGAGCTAGGATCTTTTTCCTGCCAGCACCAACTCGTGCATTTAATTTCTTTTTTTTTTCTCGAAATACATTCGCTACATAAGATTTGTTTTATTTTAAAAATCACAGCAAGTTATTGACTACAGTACACAGAAAATAAAGTTCTCGCCATAAATTCATACCAGTTGTGTTTAAGCATTTAATGCGTGTATTTATGTAAATGTTTTCACTTTGATTTCGTTTTTTCTGTAAAATGTTGGATCTAGGCCTTGGCTGATCTAATCGATGCCATGTTAGGTGCATTTTGATACACACCCGCTGACCATCATTTACCTGTTTACGCAATAGCCTAGATAACTGCACGTATTTTGAGAAGACCCACCACTGCCCAAGCGATGGCTCTTTATGATTCCTGTGTAGTTTTTCTTTAAGATGGCCAATTTTGTTCGATGATAACACAGATCGCTCATTCTTCGAGATGTTTTGTTTACATCTCTATATTAAGAAATCGCGTCATTCGCCAGACCACCAGCTTATCAATGGCAGCTTACACTGGGAATTCATATCTGGGTTTCAAACGTAATGTGTTATCTCTCTCTCGAGATGACAAAAATGGGGTGGGGAGTTAGTGGGTTGTGAAAACTTCCTAAACGTTTATGTGGCTACCCCCTCCCCCTTTCCATTAAATCCTAGATACGCCTAATGAGAGTTTGTATGGAACTATGCTACATGAATTTGGAAAATTAAACTTTCCGTTTTTGTGTTTAAAATAACAAAATAATGCAAGAACATGCATGCATGGAATCATTTAACTCCACCCCCCTCAAACCCTCCGTTCCCATGCTGAAAAACTAACAAGACATAAGGGTCAAAGTGGCCAAATCCGTTCTAGATACAATGAAAATGCTAAAACATTTTTCTTCCATCAAAATATCAGTTCTCTAATGCCTTTAAATATTATAAGGAAAAATAAGGAAAAATCCACTGGCTAACACATTAAGCTTTTTAAAAGCTAAACTTATTCATCAATTGGAATGTAGCCTGTACAGAAAAGAATTATTCAGTATTGATGTTTGCAAAGAAATGAAGTCTTCACAAAAAATGATCTAGAGCAATGTGCATTTTTTAAAATCGCAGAATGGAGTATTATTTGATTAATATAAGTAAACAGGGTACAGTAGATTTTCAAATCAACTGATCGATCATTTCTTTCTAAAATGAATAAGATAAAATTGTACAATGGTAGGAACATTTAAAAATGGAACGACTTTTTTGAGGGCATAATATTTTCTAGAATTTTCAGTATAATATCTTGATTTATATGCATGTTGCTAGAGCATGCCACACCAAAATATTATGAAAAAGTATTTAGAAATTTCTTCTTTTTTTTGCAAATTATTACAACTACAAATTTCGGGACGCGTTTGATTGACAAACATCCTTGCTCTTTCTCGAAACAAACTTTGTTATCCTTGATATTTAAGGACATACGCAACCACGTTTGAACTTCAATTTCTTATTTACTGTATGATTTAAGAGTTCTGATATTTGGAGGACCTTTGTGAGCTTTTACGATGCCTGATAATGCTACACAATTTTTTCTGAATCAGATTTTGAGGAACAACCTATTGAAAACATTTTTGGTTTAAAACAAAAAAAAAAAAAAACAAAAACAAAAAACAAAAAAAAAAAAAAAAAAAAACAGTATTTTTATCATTTGATATCTGTTCAAAACTCTTGGTAATGTGTGCTGATTTTTTGTCGAAGAACATCTAATGATATTGTGATTTTAAATTAAGAATATCTTGGAAAGTTATCACTGGGAAAGGGACATTTTAAAGTACTTGCAAATGTACGAGCGAATGAACTTAAGAAAAGTGTAAAAATGAAAAACATTTAAACAATAATTCAGAAAAGTCAGAGTAGAAATTAGAGAAAGTAAAAACAAACCACCAGTATTGACAGTCCATGCTCAGTGATGTGTGCAGAGTAAACAAATTGAACATATTCTGTAAAACGTAAACATCAACAATAACGGAGCTCGTGCCCTTGTTTACAAAGACAGACGATTGACGTGATGTTATGAAGAATTTCGTTGTAATTGAATGTCAAAAATTTTCCTTTTATTTAATTTCATTAGACTGACGTTAGAATTTGAATTACAACAGAAATTTAATAAAGAAACGGCAATGCAACTTTGTATAGGCTCCTTTAAATTAGTACCATTAGCATAATGTTAGAAATCATTCAAGTTTTGGAATCTGTTTCAGGGCAACAAAAATAATTTGACTTAACATTTTGAAGTGCGATTCAATTTTTGTAATTTGGTTATGTTATATTTTTTTGGTTTGTTATTTTTGTAATTTGATAATGACGTTATTTGACACATGCCACATGATGGCCTTATCTTTTGAATTTATTTTCGTAGTAAAGTCATAGACATGCTGTCTGTACGACCAGAATGCAAACACAATGAGATCCAAAGGTAAGAGAAAAGTTAAACTCTATTTGATCATGAATAAGTTGATTACCTTAGACCTAGACTTCTGAGTGAAAGGGGAAAAAAACCTTGCAATTCAAAAAAGGTATCACGTAGTTGCCATTACCTATTTCAACAGTTTTCTACCAATATATGAAACTTGGTTTGAAGGAAGACGACACCTATGAACACAATTTTGAAACATTTTTGGTTACTATGTCAATATACAAATTCATTTTTAAGAAATAACCACGTTCTTCCTTAGGTCCATACACTCATTCAATCATCATTTTATTCATTTGAAAGGAAAAGTGAATAAAATATTTAACAAAAAATTCACACACAAAACGCATTAAGAAATATATCACAGAACATTGAATGGAAATAATTCACTTTCCTCAGAATAACTTTAAATATATCATTCATCATAAAATATCATTTCATCTTGTATATAATGCAAATTATAATATAATTATATAATGCAAATTATCATACAAACCATAAACATTTCTATTTACTAAGTATAGCATTTAAATCCTGTTAAATTTACATCACCTATATTTGAAGTATTATCTCTTCCTCAGTCAGGTATACATGTAGCTATAATAAATAATTCAGACATTAAATCTAAATGCTTACTGGTAAGAATCTATTTAAAACTCAGTATAAAAACAAAGGCCTAACAATTGGTATGAAATGTGTCAGTCAAAATACGATGCAACCATAGAATTTACGAAATGCTTGCATTAAACGAAATTGTTTAATTTCCTGTAACATCAACTTATCTGTCAGTAGCCTGTCATGGTTTAATAATTAATGGTACTCAAAGCATGTTTTGAGTATCGAATAAGATTTGAGACATAAACACCATATACAAGTTAAAGCCGAATTTTATTATATAAATAAGGAAAGTTAACAGTGGAAAAGCTGAACTCATCTCAAATGTCAAATAGTGCAGTTGTCTATGTTTGTTGTTTTTACGTCCCGTTCGAGAATTTTTCACTCGTATAGAGACGTCACCATCCGAAAGACCCGCAACTTTCACCTTAAAGTTCAGAGAGCTTGGCGAAGGAACAGTTGCTTCCTATTTTTTATCGACCTAGGTCAGGTTTGAACCCACGACCTTCCGATCATAAGCAAGCGCTCTATCGACGGAGCCACCGTGACGGTAAGTATAGTTGTTAGTTGGCCCTATACGTCTATACCAATTAAAACATCCAAGTATGAAACAGATGTGGCAGACTTTGTGATGTCTTTTATTTCGAGTTAACTGGGATATATTGAGTCAACATAAGAATTGAAGTATCTATTGTTAATTGATAAAACATCAATATATGTGAATGTCGAGTTGAATGCCATAATAAGTGTATTCTTCTTCTATTGTAGAAATTATTTAACAAATTCTGCTTCATAGGAATATAAAAACAGGTCTTAAATGAGCACAATAAGTGCTAATTGCAAATTTGTTGGAAGACCTGGTCTTCAAGGACTATACAAACAAGCATTCTGAGAGTATTGCATTAGCAATGCTAGTCCCCTACCGGCAAGTGTAATCTGGTCCCCGTTAAGAATTGAATTTGTCATAAATCCGTCAAAAATCAATGAAGCGGGACGAAATGCAAACGTGATCTATAACTAATCAAGGGGAAGTCACTTACTAAAAATCAGCTCAATATCTGAAAGCGTTTAGAAGAAAATTGCGGAAAACCCCTAAAAATTGAAAAGGCCGTAATTCCGTCAAAAATCAATGAAGCGGAACGAAATGTAAACTTGATCTGTAACTCATCAAGATACACTCACATACCAAAAACCAGATCAATATCTGCAAGCTTTTAGAAGAAAAGTGCGGAAAACCAAGTGGGACAGACTGAGAGACAGACAGAGGGACAGACAGACAGACAGACGGACGGACAGACTCAGAGGAAACCTATAGTCCCCTCCGGAACCGTATAACATCAACCTCAGAGTATCTGAGTGTAGAATCAGAGAAATTTTAACAGGATTATTTTGTTGATGACCAATCACAAGATGTTAAAATTCCGGAGTTCCATTTTAATTGATGAAGCGGTTGTCCTTGATATCAAAGAGCATAGTTTTTTATTTATTGCGAGGAATGGTAGTATAAAAAGTCGACAAGTCATACGTTTGATGTTACTTACATTTAAAAAAATTAAGAAGTAAAATTTTTCTTTGGAGTTTTTGAGATTCCACATTTGATTTACACCAATTCTAGAATATGCTGTAGCAAAGTACGTCTGAATGTTTTTCTCTACAGCAGTTTAAATTTTTGGAGGAGTAATGATAAGGGCTTGATCAATCTAATTAAAATTAGACTTGTAATTTTCGCTCCTCTACGATACGCTTCAATACAAGATCTAACAACACCCCGTCCGAGGTCACCTCAGTGTGACCTTTGATACAAATCAATTAACCAATGAAAAATAACCAATGACGTCAAGAATCGACCAATGAGAAAGTGTTTGTTATATGCTTATCGCTCGGCATTTAAAAATGGCTGCGCCCATTGAGAAAGTTACGAATTCGCTAAATATACAATTGAAGCCTCAACAGCTGGACATTTTGCAGTGTCTGCTTGATAGGAAGGACTGCATGGCAGTTTTACCGACTGGCTTCGGTAAATCATTACCTTATCAACTACTTCCGTTGGTACAACGAGAAATCGGCCGCACTGGGATTGTACTTGTTTGTTGTCCCCTTGTTTCGTTGATGAAAGATCAGGTTGAGAGAATAAATGCAATTAAAGGTGTAACGGCCGCATATAAAGGTATATTTTATTTTATTCCCAGTTTTTGCTTCATGACGTTTTGTAACCCACTTGCGAACTGATATTGCTATTCAACAGGTCTGGTACAATCACTAGAATTATCTACGTAGCTTGAAATACCTACATAGCTTTATTTACCTACCTGAGGTAGCTTTATTTAGCTACTTAATCAAACTTATTTCTGAAATTAGCATTTTCCTTATGAAGTGCAGAAAATTACACTTTGATGCAGTGATAATTTTCAACTTTGAACACATCTGAAAATAATTCATGAAAAAATCACTCGTAGAGATGTGTGTTTTTTCTGCACAATTGCAATCAAAAAAGTTCTAAAAGTTTTGGGGCTATGTACAACAGTTAACTTGTGACCAAACAGTTACATCCAGAATGAAATAGCAAAGAAAACCAGTTTTGATTAACATGAGCACAATGTAAAGTAATCATACTTATCCACGCCTCACCGCACACAAGGTGGTGTAAAGTTACTCAAACAATGGAAATACATCTTTTCCTTAAAAATGTTCAAACACAACAATGTTTAAACTATATCTGCTTTGGATTGCTTTTTAAATAATTCCTAGAATAAATATTACTAGACATTTACTTGCGACTTTTGTCTTCTAAAAAAAAAAAAAAAAAGCAAAATTGTGAAAAGTTGCCCTAAAATAGCTAAATAAAGCTACCTGAGGTAGCTAAATAAAGCTACGGTAGGTAATTCTAGCTACGTAGATAAATGTACTGATTGTACTGGACCTGTTCAAGAGGAATTTTCTATTCAAAGGAACTATTTAATTTAACAAACACGAATATAACAGGAATAAAATTTATACAGCTTTTTAAAACACTTACTACCAAACAAATACATAAAATATAACACGGGGCATCAGTCATTAACTTAATATTTGAAAATTGAGACAGGATAATTGATCTCAATCTTGGTTATACTTGAAATACTATTGAAACCTTGCAGAAATTTTGTGACTTTATATGTTTAATAAATACCAAGTTTAAAGTTTGGCAAAGAGAGCCTTAGTTTTGTTCTGCCATGTATGGTAAAATATTACAATAAACTTTATATCTATGGTCTGCACAATAAAATATCATTCATATGCTTGTTTTCCTGTGATCACCTGCTGCATGTCATCCACTTAAGCATGCTAAAAGCATTCCCTACTTTTTACAGGTCAAGGCCTAGATAAAGAGATTTTGAGTGGCGAGGTAGACATCATATTTGGAAGTCCGGAGTCACTGTTAGGTGAATGGCGGGCTGAACTACAGCAACTCAATGTCACTGCAATTGTTATAGATGAATTTCATTTAATATCAACGTGGTAAGAATTTTTAAATAACATTTTAGTTTTGATATACAGTACATTCAAAGAATTGTAAAATGAGTGAAGAAAATTTTCCTCAATATGCTTCATGAACTAAAATATTGTAATTATATATGTTATATGTTTATGCCCATTAGGCCCTGATTTGGTAATAAATTCTATTCTTATGTATTCATATATTTCAGGGGACAAGATGATGAACATATTCACAAGAGAGCATTTAGGAAATGGTTTGGTGATCTTGGAGAATTACGTTCCATCTTTCCAAATGCGTCACTGCTTGCCCTTAGTGCCACTTGCACACTGAAAGTACGGAAACGTGTGTTGAAAGTGGTATCCTTTAAGCCAGATTTTACATTTGTGTACTTGTCACCGGACAAAAGAAACATCAAGTATGTTGTAAAGAAAGTGGCAAATGACATTGAAATGGCAATGACATGGTTAGTGGATGGACTGGTGAACATGGGAAGTCTATTTCCAAGAACACTAATTTATTGTAAATCAATTAGTGATTTGGCAAAGATTTATGATTATGTGTCAGACGAATTGCCAGAGGACTTGTGCTCATATATAGCTATGTATCATTCAGAGACTGAAGAATCTATCAAAGAGACTGTGTTATTGTCCATTCGGGAGAAAGAGAGCCCTATAAGAGTTATTGTTTCCACTAATGCTTTGGGTATGGGGGTGGATTTTAAAGATCTACACAGCATTATTTTATTTGGTCCACCTCATTCTATACTTGAAGTGGTGCAGGAAATTGGACGTGCTGGGAGAGATGGTGAAAAGTCTGTGTCTTTGCTACTTTATAATTCCCATCACCTTGCCCGATGTGACCCAGAAGTAAAGAAACTCTTTAAGAGCAATGACTGCCGAAGAATACAGATGATGGAATCATTTCTTAAGGAAAGTGAACTTGATAAAGTAAAATCTTATGCAGGAAATTGTTCATGCTGTGACGTATGTCAGAACAACTGTTTATGTGGGGATTGTTCTCAACTGCCATTGGAGAAACTGTTTTTAGGGAATCATGTAACTTTTCCCAATGATCATGAAACTTCAGAAGATTCTGATTCTTGAGAATAATTCTTCTCGACATGGGGATAACAAGAATTCTGTGAGCACCAATTATGGCCCAGCTCTGATTTGAATATACACTTTCATGTTAATATACAGTGTACTAAAGTTCTTTTAAAGAAATATTGGCATGGACAGATGCAGGGATAAACAGGAAGTTGACATCAAATTCAAACAAAAATGAATCCCATCACATGGCATGCTTAAAAAAAGAGCGTGCTAAAATTTCAGGCATCTGCGAAGAGTAGCTGCTGAGAAAACCTGTGAAAATTTGTTAAGACAGACACAAACATAAATGCACAAGGTAAACCAGTATACCCCCCTCTCCTTTGGGGATATAATAATTATAGGAAATGCTAATAAATTATATTATTTGGACATTTGGTATGATATATTTTGTGAAGTTATTAAATATTCAATACATATTATGCTTATAAGTTATATTATCTGTACATTGGTGTAAGATATTTTGTGAAGTAATTAAATATTCAATAACATATATCTGCATTTTAGAGTTATATATTAGACAATTATTGCTGGGTTTTTTTGAGGTCAATAAGATGATTTAGAAACCCGAGGTGTACAATATTCACCGAGCCCGAAGGGCGAGGTGAATATTGTACTTCGAAGGTGGCTAAATCATCATATTGACCGAAAAAAATGGCAATAATTGTTTTATTATATGATTCAATGATTAAATAACACACTCATTAAGCAATCCATGCCATCTTACTTGTTCACATCTACTGAAGTACTAGCCCAACATAATGAGAGAAACAGGGTTAAAAAACAGTTGTATTATTCTGGAATTTTTAAATCTAGGTTAGGTGCAATGTAGAAAAATAAATGTCAGGCACATATACAGGATTGATTTTGAAAAAGGGGGCATTAAAAGGAAAAAATTGAAATTGACAACTTACTTGAAAACAAATCTTTGACTGCCCCCCCCCCCCCCCCCCCCCCCCAAGAAAGGAAAAGAATTCTCCCAAATCAAAATTTTATTTGGTGGAATGTAAAGGTCCATAAACTTTTCGAGGAAACTCATTGAAATTTTTTATCCTTAAAATTTAAATTAAAACTTAACATTCTCAAAAGTTGGAGAGAGGGGTAGGCCTCCTGCAACCCCCCCCCCCCTTTCCCCCGACCCCTCACCCAAGAATCTATGTGCCTTAATGTTAAGTTCGTATGAGTAGATGTCAGGTGCAAGTGAAATAACTTTCCAAAACTATTTGCATCAATTTGGAATTTCCCTATCTATTTTTGTTCCAATGTAGAATAAATAATTCCTTATACTGACCTGGAAGATCATGTGCAGGTCAATATAACGTAGTACTTTTCTAACATTGTTGGATCTCAGCCAATCAGAGAGATGGGAATTATTCAATCATATAATAATCATATTTACTGAAAATAAAATAAAAGACGCTATTCTGGGACTACCGGTAATCATATTTATAGCCAAGTGCTGAAACATTGCATAAAATATTTTAGATCAAACATTTAAGAATTTTAATGAATGAACAAATATTGAAACCATTATTATAATAATCAACATCATTAATAAAACTATTTATCTTAAGACTCTTGCCTATAATTGATGCCACTTATAACACCTTCCATGCTATATTGATATAGTTACATACTAAAACAAATGCTCATTGACTAAATAATGAATAAGGTACCGGTATGCATCACAATTTCACAGTCACATAGTTACATACTAAGACAAATGCTCATTGACTAAATAATGAATAAGGTATGCATCACAATATCATAGTCAAACGAAATTGGCAAGTTCAAAATTTACAGTCTCTTAGTCTTCCATATGGTGACCATGGTCTATGGCGATGCAGTATGGTTGACAAGCCTTGAGAACAATTTGAAAATGGATTCCTGTCTAAACCAGTTGTTTTTACTTTTAACTTCCTGTTTTCATTTTTCTGTAAAATGTTATTCTCCAGTAAATCCTTTATAACTTTCTCAACATCAGTTGCATAGGAAGGAAGATGATGAAATCCTTTCCTTTGGCCAAATTCACCTGCCTCTTCGAACTGTTTTGTGAATTGTATGAGCAAAGGATACTCTTTCGAATGTTTCAGTATACTTTCCTTAGTTTTGTGCCCAGTACAAGAGACCTTGCTGTCTCTGTTAAGCATTTCAATGTACTCATCCAAAGCAATGTTGTTATTCTTGCCACCTTGGATATTCACAAATCTGTTTGCTATGAATCGTTCCTCCTGGTCAGCGTTAAGAAGTCCTGAGGACAATGCCGTAGTATGAATGGAGCAAATGGAATATTTGATTTTATTTGTTTTGTGGTAAATTGGAAGCTCATACTTTGCAGATCGTACGCATCTTCCACCATCCCCCATATCTACTGCACTGTCAAAATTTCGATGGAGCATAACAAGTTTAAAAAGCATAAACACATAATCATGCAATTCATCATTGCTGCATTCTTTCTTTTTCTTTGTCTTACTCAAAGAGATGTCATGAAATCTAGACTCGTGAGCTTTTAAAGAACTTACTCTTTTATAGTCCTTTTCACAATGATGACATTTAAAACGACCATTTTCTAATGTCGAAGTCCAGTAGTTTTCCTCATGCTGAGGATTTTCTAGAACACTCCTTATTTCCTCACAAATATCTTGACCATCTTCAAAGAACCATTTTTCCACCAGCTCCCTACACACGTTATTCAACCACTGAATGCTGTCATTGGGTGTCATTTGTGAAAAATCTGGAAGTGGAAGATCATTCATGTCTACTGACCCCAGCTTGTCCATAAAGAGCACTACACAGATGGCATCAAGAATAGTATAATAAAGCATCTTGTATCCTCTGTATGCATTCTTTACTGGCCCTTTAGCACTTCTATGGCCCAAAAGGTTCCTGTAATAGTGGGCAGTACATGGGTCACCTGCCATGCCAGTGCTGTATGTAAGCTTATAAATGGCCTGCAAAATTAGATTTAGTAAAATTTACTCATTTAAACAATATTTTGCACCTAGGAAAAAAATGCATGGTATTTCGTTATGACAGAACTTTGAAATATAAGCAATTTAAATGAAGTTCTAACAGAACGTAGTTAATCTATAAGAAGTAAATCAGTAAGTAAATATTCACTGACTGCCTTAAAAACTTTTTTTTATTTTAGAAAGTATTTTATAAGACTTAATAAATAGTAACTGTAAGGATATAGGTAATTTTCATTTAAATTTTACTTACTTCGAGAAAATTCATCAATCTGTGAAAGTCTTCTGATTTTGAAATGAATCCCTCTAGCCGTCCTTTTGATGTCAGTGAATCCTTGAGTGCAACCTGTGCACACTGTATTCTCTCATCAGTGAGACGATCCCCTTTAAAAAAAAAAACATAATGCATAATACTGGCTTTCAAAATGTTGCATATTTGGTTGCTGTGGTTCAAGATCAAAGAATATAATTAACACCTTGATTTGTGAATATCATCAGTTTACACATCTTGGATTCATTACATGCTTTTTCACTATCAAGTATAGAGTCAGATTTACCAAGGTATTTAAATGCCTCATTGACATACCTCCAAAGAAAACAGCATCAACAACCTCTTCATTCTTTAATGGAACATACAGGTCGGTAAGATGTCTAAGGAGCCGAATCACTTCGTCCGTTTTATTTTCATTCGTATCAAAGAGTCCCAAAGAATACTGAAAAAAAATTCACCTCTGGTTAATCATATTATCTACATGTACAAGTTGTAAAGTTAAAATTAATGATTTTATAGAATGTGAATCTTACTTGTGTTGTTTTTAGTCCTGCAAAAGCTGAATGTTCATGATCCAAGTGCTTTGGGAAAATAGTCTCAAAGTGCTTTGACACTTGGGGAACATGTCTAATAATGGCTGAAGCAAAAATAAATGTTAGTTCCTTCAATAACTGTGTTTGTTCGAGGACAGAGGGGATGTATGTGGGGTTTTCTTCGTATCCATTTGACCCCGCTGGACTGGTGGTGGTGTACCTGTCAACAATGGCATAGATTTGGAACAAATGGAGACTCTCTGTTTTTCTCTCACTGGTTCGATAAGAAGGGAGAATGTCCTTGTCCCAATTGTCACCCACCAACTGGAATTTTTTGGCAACCTCTTCCTTGTTGGTCCATTTTATCTATAAATATTTAGTTCTTGTGTAACATATCTTTTGATTTGATAAAAAAAATTTTGTGTTGCCTATGTCACAAATTAGTCAAAAATGTATCAATCTGCTTGTCAACACATTTAAAATTTGTACAATTTGAAGGCATTTTTGAAGGGGAAAAAGTCTCAGTTTTTATTAAGTGTAATGATAAAATATTAAATTGTTATAAGGAGTGCATTTCATAGCTACTAAAGATATACTTCTATAATCTTGGTTGGAACAGTTAATGCTTTTTTGTAAGCCACTTTGCAGTTTATAAAGTTTAAATTCATTTAGTAAATAAATGTATACTAACTATACCTAACAATACTTGTACAGTTAAACTGTCAACATGTATTATGTTACGTGTGTTAACTTTAAACAAGAAGAGCTGCAAAAAACATAACCTCCCTGGAAAAAAAAAATTTACCTTTAGGATTTTGAGTTCTTCATCCAACTTATCCTGCCAACTTGTCAGTTTATTGTGAAGTGTCTGGGGATGAACACATAGTCCAGCTTTACAAAGTGATTCAATGGTCTGTAATGAAAATAACAGTTTAGGTTTGATTTCCTTCATTTCAAGCGAAGGTAATAATTTGAATTTTTGAAGGCTGAGGGAAAAGAACCTTGAAATCTTAAATTTAAGTATCCTGCAGCCCCCCCCCCCCCTTGAAAAAAATGCACTTACTCTTTGAGTACAACCACCACGAGCAAGGATAAAGACTGTTATGTAGTGCAAAGCGGACATCTCTTGATTTCTTCCATGCAAACATATAGCACTGGAGAGCATCACATGAAAGAAGGGTTTGCTGAGAATCCCTGGGGGTGGATTTTGCACTATGGATGATATAATAGAGAGAGTATGAGGACATCTGTTCTGAAGATCTTTACTCAGATTTTCCCACTCAAAGTTAATGAAATCTTCATATTCTTTTTTTTGAAGAAATGAACCAGACCCTCGATGACAGATTTTGCTACACTCATCCTCTATTATTTTAGTCACTGCATTCACCACAATGTTGGGATTTTGCTGACATAAAGTGTTCACAATAGTCTTGTCTACATTTTTGTTGTCCAATATGGCTTTACATACAACTTTGTGTGAAGGAGATACAACAAGCACAGACTTTTTTCCACTTGGGTAATTAATTGACACCTACAAAGAACCAATGATAAAATTTTAAATCCTATTTTGTCCCTAATACAAACCAAATTACCATGTATATTTAAACATCTTTATGTGTGATGAACTGCTATCAATTCAGTTGTTGAATAGATTAATTATCCAAATTATTAGATTTCATTTTTACTTTTCAAAATAAATATGGATATAATTAAGTATTATAAAAATGTAGAATAATTGATTGAATGACTTATACATGCATATCTTAGTAGGAAGAAATGCAGTCTTACCATATCAAGCTAATCCTGGAAAATTGTAAACTGGTCAGAACAAACAGGAAACTCTTGAAGTAATTAACTGGAAATAACTGCAAAAAATAAAACAAATAATAACTAACAAATACAACAAAAGGCCATAATGCTCATCTGATTCACCATGCTCCTGCTGTCCTTCAGAAGATTTGTTTTATGATTTTTCCCCTAATATATTCCTGTCTATAATTTTGATCCCTTATGTGGATCCATCCTAGCCCCTAGTGGTCATGACTAATTTGCACTTTAAGCCATACTTTTCTAAGGGATATGGGGACTGAGTCCTACTAAACAGTCTATTCATAATTTTAACACACTTTGAATCCACACTGAATATTTGCAGTTTAATCCCCTGTACATTGTAGAGCTTATTACAAAAAACAAAAGAAAACCCAAAAAAACCAACTTATGTCAGATAAAACTTTATTATTGTGGCCCAATGCATCCTACACATACCCCTGGGGCCATGAATCAAAATTGAATCTACACTACCTGTAAAAAATGGGGGAAAAAGACAATGGATGGATGACTGACAAACTTTGATCAAAAAAGCTCTCTTGAGTCTTTGCTCAGGTGAGGTAAATAACAAAACATAAAAAAGAAAGTTTAATAAAGTCAACCAAAACAGTCACATGTTAAAATGCAATAAACATGATCAATCTGATAAAAAAGAATTCCAACAAAATTAAAATGTATTTCATGTACAGCTTTCACAATAAATGAATGTTTTGGATGACCATTGAACATGAAGCATGCATATAACAACATAAAATTGAGAAAAGTCTCACCTCTACTTCCCCTTGACCTTGAATAATCTGGTTAGATTTTTCAATTTGTTTTTCAATATCTGAAATACATAAAAACCTATTAAAGCTATGAAATAAATTCATGATGACATTTATTAGAGTTTATGATTTTTTTTAAATTAATGATACACCATATTTACACCAAATTTGCATATTATACAAAGTTGATTTTACCATGATTTAATTTGAAATTTTTAAATAGTAACTCTGCTAATGACCTATCATTGATTAAAATACCTCCACTGGGGGGATCTCTTATGTCCACAAAAGATAAGGATTTCCTTGCTGGCTTCTTGTTTTCTTTGTTAGCAGGAACTGTAATAGTAATAATATGAATTAGGAAAGACTAATTTGGGGAATTGATGTACTGATAATTGATATACTGATAATTCTTATATATCTTATGTATCATGTCTTATGCAAACACATCCCCCATGCATGTGTGATCTGTGCCTGGCATTTTGGAAAAAAATCATTAGGCACTTCAGAATACATTTACATGAATGAGGAGGCTGGAGCACAAGTTTCAAATTCAAGCAGAAGATATGACACTTGAATTGTTCCTTAGTATCATTATGCACTAGAAAGGCACAATAAACATGTTCAAATACATGTACTTCAATATTTAATTTATGTATTTCGTAGGCACTTGTACAAACTATTTGGAAATTTGACAACATTCTTGAACAATCACTATGACATTTATTAAATTATCATACAATTAGTCTAATCTATCATACCATTCTTAATTGTCATACCATTTGGATGTGGCAAAATATTTCTAAACATGGATTCAGCTAAGGTATCAACAGACTTCTCTGCTTCACGAACAGACACCTGCTGATTTTAAAGAAAAGAAAGAAAGCTTGATTTGATTCCATTTGTCCACCATATAATTAAATATATGAAAAAATAAACCTTATCATTAACTGTATGGAAGTCAAAATCTAGATCATGTAGATTGCTCATTTATATAATGAGTATAGGCATGATAAATTTTTTCCCTCTGCAATGTACTGAATTGAACAAAATTGAATTCACATATTCCATGAAATCAAAAAATTCATATAGTCAGTCCAATCCTTTTATGTTTCATTCATAACAATTAAAATATTGTAAAAATTAAAAGTCGAAAAACTTAAAATATTGAATACCTGTCAGGGCTAGACAAATAGCATTGCCCGACGCCCGGGACAACCAATTTTGTTTAGTGGGCAAGTTATTTGATAAGTGGTGCCTGCCCGCGGACAAGTGTTTTTTTCCCATTTACAAAAAATCATATACTCAATATGTCTTTTGTGTTACCGCTTTTAAAATATCATGAATCACAACAAAGCATCTGTTTTCGCTGCTGTTGACCACTATTGAATATGAATTCTCTAGAATTTACCCATGAATGTGTTACACAAGTCGTAAAACATGACATCTTTCGCTGTCGTCAAAAAAGTTGAATTGGATTTTAGACTTTTTTTATTGACAAAATATTAAATTCATTCTGTGAATACAGACATGCTACTGTTATTAAAATTGGTTGTTGATTGGCAATCACATAGTCATGAAGTCCATAGCTCAATCGGCATGCAGTAGTGTTCACAGATCTGTCTCGTTTGTAGGTTTTTTGAGATCATCTTCACCTTTTTCATTAAATTTATTCAAAGAAAGTATAGGGAGTATCTTATTGAAGAATTTTGAGGAGAATAGAATGAAACTTTGACTTTACCAATGCCCTGAAAATATCGAAAGAAATCTGGGAAAATTTAGTGATTTTAGATCTACGTTGATTCCCGTGTAGTGTCTCAGTTGAGAAATAATTTAATGTTAATGATTTTGTTTAAATCAAGAAACAGGTCGGACAAGCAAATTTTTTGGTAGGACAAGTAATTTTATGATGGTAACCTGTCCGAGGGCAAGTAATGCAAAATTCTATTTGTCTACCCCTGCCTGTTTCAAGATGTCTCCATCAAGGGTACGTTTTGTGTTGTACCTAAACACGCTTACTGGCGCCAACTTTACTGGAGTGACTTTTCTGATTTGTACTAAAAGAGGATCTGTTGTTGCACACACTTCTGATTTTGAACGCTTCTTTAAACTATCCACTGAACTCTTTTGCTCTCGCTTCGTGACAGCAAACGATTTACTTGGCGATGGCACACAAACACTGTATCTATCCAAGGTAGCATTCAACGACTTTCTGAAATGTTCTCTCATACTCACAGCTTCTCTTTCTATTTTAAAAACTTTTTGGACATTTCGAAAACACTTTTGGCATACACCTGCGTCTGGAGGAAATGTGGTCCGAGTGTCCTCAGGAAAACCACAAACATTTTTTATATCACCCACTCTTTCGGTTGTAAGTCTTAATTTTTTGTCTACATATTTGTGAATCACAACTTTTCCTTCGTTGTCCACTGACTTACTTATGAAAGAGAACCCGCAAATTACGCATACATTACCGAGGGGATAAATTTTAACTGGCGTCATGGGCGCCGCCATTTCGTTCTTTCGGATCTAAATTTAACTTTCATAACGTTCGGAACTTTTCTTGAGTTATCGAGTTGCGGTACCTTCAAAATTTTTACCAGCGTTGATTTCATTGGTTAATTCAAAGGTCACACTGAGGTGACCTCGGACGGGGTGTTGTTAGATCTTGTATTGAAGCGTATCGTAGAGGAGCGAAAATTACAAGTCTAATTTTAATTAGATTGGGGCTTGATAAGCTACTTACTGGACCATACAAAGTATATTTGTACAGATTTTTATGAAGTTTAGGAATCCAGTATAGGAAGGATAGACATATGCCAGGTTTATCAAATTATCAACATTTTAAGAAATTCTGGAGTCAGTCAATGTACTGCTCGCTTACTTACAGTCCCTGAAACGTTCTACTTTCCCATTTTTCCGTTCGCTCACCGTTCGTTCACCGTTCGTTCAGCGTGCGTTCACCGTTCGTTCACCGTGCGTTCACCGTTCGCTCTCCGTTCACAGTTTTGCGTTCACCGTTCACCGTGCGCTCGCGTTCACCGTTCACAAAGCGTTCAGCGTTCGCTCTTCGTTCCGTTCACTTTGCGTTCACCTTGCGTTCAGCGTTCACCTATCGTTCAGTTTTCATTGTCATTCGGAACTCCGAAGTGAAAGGACTTATCTTTTTGCAGTTAAGGAGTTACAGGTTTTTTTAATTTATTAACTAACATATCGTGTTTGAAGAATCATTATTTCATGAGGAAAAATATCTACGATATATATTTTTATTATTCTAATTTAGCTGTTAGGTTATTTATTAAATTACTCTGGAAAATAAATGTTGTTACAAAATATAATAGAACTAGTTCTGAGAGTTATACATAGTACTGCGGATATCCTGTTAATTTATTATCTTTAGAACGAATTAAATTGATAGTGTGGTTAAAGGAAATATTTATTTAAAATGTAATGCACTACAGAATTTCTCTACTGTAATATGTAAAGTCTATAGTTATAGAGAAAAAAATCTTTCTTCACCGTAACTTTATATATGATTAATACCCCCCCCCCCCATTTCCCCCTAAATCGGTTACTTAGTCAGTACCTTATTTCCAGAATATTTAAATTAACATTAACAAAAAGCTACGGTCTTTTTTAGAACAAAAATTTCAGTCTCAAAACAAACATGCATCTAAAAAAGTCACAAAACAATAGTAGATCAAAATGTACACGTGTCGGCGGTGGTATTTGAAATTGGCAGAGAGTATGTTTCACATTCAAGTGTTAATGCCCAATGTATTTTTACTAATTTATTATTCAAATGTTGGAATCAAATCTAGAAATGATAAAAATAAATGTTATAACTTGTTGGAAATACTCGCACTTCGTCTTCGATGTGACGAAACTTTCACACTTGCACAGTGTCGAATGATTTTGATTGACAGGACAAGCACGTGGACTTCGTGTGAACTTGAAGCAGGAAAAATAAAAACGAGTATGACTGTCAAACAAATGGATATGATTTGTTGATAAAAAAAAAAGTTACTTTCACTGTCTGATATATTTAGAAAAAAAAATTCAGAGTTTTTGTTTGATATAGGTACAAACATTTGGTGAAGCCTGAAAGGAGGGGGGGCTAAAACTGAATATTACTCTCTCTCTCTCTCTCTCTCTCTCTCTCTCTCTCTCATTTGTCTGTTTAATAAAAACTATAACACCATATTACTTAAATATCAAGTTTTGAAAATTGAATTTATAACAAATAATATGAATATGTATCTTTGTATCATCTTGTCCGAGTATAATCACGGCCATCTGGAGATACATGTAGACGTCTGCTCAATAAATCATAATGAAAAATAGAAATGACACATAATATATTATTGTATTAAAAATTTAAAATACGAGGGTATAAATGTAATTTTTTTTTTCATTACTTTACTCGAAATCGCCTTGACACGGAGATATATATATATACGAATATAAGTTACAACCGCTTTAATTCATTCTATAAATCATAAGTTTTCTCTGATTTGTTATCAACTAAGAATAAACATTTTTATTTTCCAACTAAAAACAATATCTTTTATACTTCAGCGTTCGGCAACAATTGCAATGTTTTAATGCGATAAAAATCGTGTGATTAAAAACTTAATGTGCATGCATCGTCTTTCTTAGGACAATTTTGGAGAATTTATTTTATTGACTTATTTATTCATTCATTTATTTGTTTACTTATTTATTATTTGGTTTTTTTTTTTTTTTTTTTTGATACCTGACATTATAATACAATAAAATAGTTTCAATGCAAGGAAAAGATCAGAGGCATTCCGAATATATCGTTCATCTTGCGTTCACCGTTCGTTCACCGTTCACTTTGCGTTCGCGTTTGCGCTCCGTTCGCGTTCTGCGTTCGCTCACCGTTCAGCGTTCACACATCGTTCACCAAGTTGCGTTCAGCGTTCACACATCGTTCACTCATCGTTCGCTCTGCGTTCGTTCAGCGTTCGTTCACCGTTCGTTCACCGTTCGCTCACCGTTCAAGTGGGAAAGTAGAACGTTTCAGGGACTGTACGATTCTTTTACATTGGATTTTTAAATACTACAATAGTGAACTCCTCACATGAGTAACCAATCAAATAATAGAATTTACCCATGCATGAATACATGCTTTAAGAGACACCGTGACGGATAAAGGGGAAAATTGACAAAAGAAGAATTTTTGCATGACACATGCAAATTTTGTTCAATTCTTGAAGATATTAGGTTTCAGAAAACTACAGGTTTCAGAACCTAAAAAATCTACTTTTATGGAGAAATATAAATGCAAAAATAATTTTTGTTTGTCCCAGCACAAAAATATTGCTTCACTTCTTTTTCTCTATTGTACGCATGCGCAGAAAAGTTGAAGAATTTACGATGGTTTCAATTCCATGGATATGAATGTCGGATGACGGAGAATTTTGATACAATCTTCAAAAAGAATGATCAGAACTTATTCCTCACTTTTACTTGCTCCAATTCAATGTTGTTTACAAGTTTCACGCTAAGAATAAAAGTCGCGTGACCTTGACATTGTTGACATTGACGGTAACAACTAAGCGATAGATACAACGTTTGTTTTTCCGGCACTTACATTCTGCAGTTCTTTTGTTGCTTTACAGTCAAAATCCGCTTTATTCATATTTCACATTAATCTTTTATTTCATGATACAATTATCTTAAAAGAAACGCATGAATTTGACTCATTATGTAACTTTAATTTAAGGTTTTACCAAAGGTCAACATGCCCAAAAATTTATTTTTACAACAGCTCCAAAACTATGTGAGTTATAAAGTTAAAACTTTTACAGTTTGTAAATATATCATT